CAGCTGATCAAACAAATCATCGATGCGAGGCAATGGATAACGGTTTTTAATCGTTACCCAGTTCAATTGCCTATAAGCAATGCATAATCTCAGAGTTCCATCTTTCTTTCTCACAAATAATACTGGAGCTCCCCAAGGTGACGAACTAGGTTGAATGAAACATTTATCAAGTAATTCTTGTAACTGAATTTTCAATTCTCTCAACTCAGCTGGAGCCATTCTATATGGAAATAAAGATATAAGATCTTACCTGGAAGCAAATCAATAGTAAACTTCACATCTCTGTCTGGCGGCAATCCAGGTAAATCATCTGGAACACATTTGGAAAATGTCTACCACTCGTACGTCATCCACAATACTAGGAGTACGATCCCACAACACCACATGAGCTAGGTATCCTTGGCAACCTTTTGATAACAATTTCTTTACTCTCACCACAGAAATAACAGCATGCCTCACTACACTTTGCTCACTCACAAAAGTGCCTCCGATATTCCAAGACAATGGAAAGTAACTGATTTCCCGTAGTAATCCATATTGGCACGATTATAATGCAACCAATCTGTGCCTAAAATCACATCAAAATCCACAATGTCTAACGGGATAAGACTCGCTGGCATAACTACTTCTTCCACCATCACTGGACACCCTGAATAATCATAACCGACATAGAATGACCTACATGTTTACCTGCCTAACGAATCCAACAAATAAGTTATGGATATTACGGTCTGCAGCCTGCAATAACGATAACTCATTGTCGTCTCGATAAGTAAGCAACAATTCTTAAGGGTGCAATATTATCATTTTACTCGTCACAGGGAAATACATATATACGCCTCGATCGGATTAGCAACAACATACGAACTACGTGGCTCGCTACGAGGCGGTATAGTTCTGACAGAAGACACTACGAAATTCTAAAGATGTCCAAAATTGTAACCTAGGCTCTGATACCAACTGACACACCCCGTCCCGAAGGAGGGCATGCTGGCCGTCACGTGAGAGTGACGTAACCATTTACACAGTTCGGAAGCTTTAAAGAATACAATTACTAAGATATAACACCCGAGGGTGAATCCAACTTTTGTGAATTCTGTCAGAACACCGTTGGATTCCTCGTGGCCACCAAAGCTCTGCTAACTTGAACCTGGAGGGGCGCAAAACAAAATTGAGTGGGTCAGCAAAACAAAGCTTTTCGAAAATCTTTCATTTAAAACATTTCTAACCCCTCGCCGTAAAACCTGTATACTTTCCCAGAAAAAAAATATATATATATATAAACATATATATATCATCAAAAGCTCAAATCACAATCCTTCAACGCTTTTCAGAAGAATATACCATGCCATGCCATATGCCAAAATATAATATGAAAGCATCAATATAAATCAGGCGAATTAATAAATCAACCGGAGACCCTACAGTGGTCCTGTACGGCTGATTCTATAGCTCAATATCCCATCCAGCCGGAGTCACCAACTGTGACCTGTACAGCACTACACTGCACATAAGTCGGAACTACCTATAGTAGTCTGTACGACTAAGATGGTGAAATAATATGCTCTAGTGCTTTTCTCATCAATCATCTATGCACATAATCTAAGGTCACCTACCAGTCGGAACCCCTCTAATGGTCTGTACAACTGGCATGTCGGAACCACCTCTAGTGGTCTGTACGACATCCACCTACTTGGATCCAAGGCGAGCGTGCGGTGTGGTGAATAATATATGCACTAACAACTAGGGTGTAGGTTATGAGCTTCCAATGCAATTCACATAAAATAAATCGTATGAATAATGTAAAAACTCACATGTGCGTCAACAACGTCAATTCACATATATATGCATCAATTATCAATTCAAATATCTCATTGATTGCATGCATGGCATTTTAAAACATATTTTCATATAGTTGCATTTTCTGGGAAAACAGTAGTATATAGGTAATACGAAAACAAAACTGCCCACTCACTGATAAGTCGATGGGTCGTAACCCCCGTGACGTCCCTGGATGAGCTCGTTCTAGGGATAGGTGTCACCTATATGCGAAACAACTATAAAAACGTTAATTTAAACACATAACCAACAATTCGAAATAACTTCTCATACGATGCTCAATTTGGGTATATGAATATACCACATCGACCTACTCGACGTCACGGATGTTAAGAATTTTTAGAAAAATTTTTAGGCTTGCCACGTGCCCTCACGCGCCGTGGGTGGCACGGACCTACACGCCCCCACGTGCGTCTTCTTCCTCAGCCAGTCACCGGACTGGTTTTTCCGGTGGCCGGATTCCGGCGAATTTTGTAATTGCTTGTTCTCCTTCGTTTCTCAACCGTTTTCTTCGAATTTTATATCAATTTGAAGCCCTCAACATGTAGAATCACGATGGACTAGTTTCAAGGTCTAAAATTCACTAGATTTTACCTGGGGAAGCACGATAATTCGGCAAAAAGTGAAACTTCGTTCTATGGCTCCCCGACGTCCAAAATACCTCAACGTTGCACTCCGAGCATCATGCGGACGTTCTAAAGCTCACTATAGCCCTGAAATTCAAAGAAAACCCTCCATTTAAAAGTTGATGAATAGTGACCAACTTGGGGATTCGATTTTCTGGGGTTTTCTCACGTTAAACTTCAACCAAAATCATGCCAAATGACTAAGGAAAAAGACTTGTTACCTTTCTGAACCTCAAAATGGCGTGAAACCTCGACGATCAAATCGGTGCTACAGTGTTTCGACGGAACCCTCGTGGTTTCTGGGTTTATCGAAGATAATTCAACCAACCAAGGGTATGGTTGAATTCGTATTCTTGCAAGATATATGATGGGGGGTCTTGGGAAGTTGATCTGTGAAGTAATGGGGGTCAACGGACTACGTCCGTACGATTTGCAGAGAAAGGGAGAGTTCGAAGGGAGGAGAGAGAGAGACATGGGGAAGGGAAAAGGAAGGAGGGCTTGTATGTGTGGTCCAACATCAATCCTCACCATCCATTCTCATCTTAGTTCCCTAACCACACAAACAATCCAACATAAGATAATTCCAAAATTTATAAAATTTAAGTCTAAATAATGTCACATACACACATACCTTAATACCCGTCAAGGGTAATCCCGTCATTTCACGTTCCCGATATAAAAATCTCGGGACGGGCTGTGACAACTACACTCCTTGACCCTATACGAATACAATGAAGGAATTTGATCGTCAATTTAAAATATTTGCACTAGTGGATACCACAAAATCTTATGTTATACTTAATGAAAGTATAAATAAAGTTTAAGTGTTAGTGAATCTATCGTTTTGATGGGATACGAATTCTATGAAACTAAATGTAACGATCCAACCGTTAAACTTGTTTGTATATGCTTTGAAATCGCATACGCTAAAAATCACAGAAAACAAACATTCAGAGATGAAGTAATGAGACAAAACTTTTCGACGGTTATAAAACAAAAAATCACGATTTAATGGTTGTTTTAACTCCGATGTTGATGATTTTTTACAACTACACTCCTTGACCCTATATGAATACAATGAAGGAATTTGATTGTCAATTTAAAATATTTACACAAGTGGATATCACAAAATCTTATGTTATACTTAATGAAAGGATAAATAAACTGTAAGTGTTAGTGAATCTATCGTTTTGATGGGATACGAATTCTATGAAACTAATTTTAACGATCCAACCGTCAAACTTGTTTGTATATGCTTCGAGATCGCATACGCCAAAAATCACAAAAAAAAACATTCATAGATCAAGAAATGAGACAAAACGTTTCGACGGTTATAAAACAAAAAATCCCGATTTAGTAGTTGTTTTAACTCCGATTTTGATGATTTTTTACAACTACCCTCATTGACCCTATGGGAATACAATGAATGAATTTGATCGTCAATTTAAAATATTTACAAGAGTGGATATCACAAAATCTTATGTTATACTTAATGAAAGGATAAATAAACTGTAAGTGTTAGTGAATCTATCGTTTTAATGGGATACGAATTCTATGAAACCAATTTAACGATCCAACCATCAAACTTGTTTGGATATTCTTCGAGATCGCATACGCCAAAAATCACAAAAAAAAAACATTCATAGATCAAGAAATGATACAAAACGTTTTGACGGTTATAAAACAAGAAATCACGATTTAACGGTTGTTTTAACTCCGATGTTGATGATTTTCTACAATTACACTCCTTGACCCTATACAAATACAATGAATGAATTTGATTTTCAATTTAAAATATTTACACAAGTGGATATCACAAAATCTTATGTTATACTTAATGAAAGGATAAATAAACTGTAAGTGTTAGTGAATCTATCGTTTTGATGGGATAGGAATTCTATGAAACTAATTATAACGATCCAACCGTCAAACCTGTTTGTATATTCTTCGAGATCGCATACGCCAAAAATCACAAAAAAACAAACATTAAGAGATCAAGAAATGAGACAAAACGTTTCGACGGTTATAAAACAAAAAATCACGATTTAACGGTTGTTTTAACTCCGATTTGGAGGATTTTTTACAACTACACTCCTTGACCCTATACAAATACAATGAATGAATTTGATCGTCAATTTAAAATATTTACACAAGTGGATACCACAAAATCTTATGTTATACTTAATGAAAGTATAAATAAACTGTAAGTGTTAGTGAATCTATCGTTTTCATGGGATACGAATTCTATGAAACTAATTGTAACGATCCAACCGTCAAACTTGTTTGTATATGCTTCGAGATCACTTACGCTAAAAATCACAAAAAACAAACATTCAGAGATCAAGTAATGAGACAAAACTTTTCGACGGTTATAAAACAAAAAATCACGATTTAACGGTTGTTTTAACTCCGATGTTGATGATTTTTTACAACTACACTCATTGACCCTATACGAATACAATGAATGAATTTGATCGTCAATTTAAAATATTTACACAAGTGGATATCACAAAACTTTCACCATTTGATCGTCTCCTAAGTAGCCTCCTCCACTAAGTGGTTCCTCCACAAAACTTTCACCATGCACACAGTTTTGTTCCTCAGAACCTTATCCTTCCAGTCTAAGATCGTCATTGGTTCCTCATCATATGTCAAGTCTGGATTAATTTCTAGTGGTTGATGAGGTATCACATGTGATGGATCTGAGACATAATGACGAAGCATAGAAACATGAAAAACATCATGCACCCGTGATAATTTTGGAGGTAACTCAAGTCTGTAGCGAGGACTTAACTTACCTTTCTTACCAAACCGCACATCGCCTTTCCACAGAGATAGCTTCAAAAATACCTAATCTCCAACTTTACAGACTCTATCAGTGGCATGTTTATCGACAAGGCTCTTTTGTCGATCTTGGGCTGCTTTTAGGTTAGATTTAATTACCTGAATATTCTGAGTAGTCTCATCAATAATCTCTGGGCCCACTAACACCCTCTCACAAACTTTTGACCAACAAAAAGGTGCACGACAGGATTTACCATATAGTGCCTTGAAATGTGACATCCTGATGCTAGAATGGTAGGTGTTATTATAGGCAAACTCCATCCAATCCAAACGCTTATGGCAAGCGTCGCCAAACTGCAGTACCGAAGATCTCAGTATATCTTCTAGTGTCTGGATAGTTCTCTCAAATTGCCCGTCAGTCTGTGGATGATATGTTGTACTATAAAGCAATCTCGAACTAAGAGCTTCCTGAAATGCCACCCAAAACTTAGAAGTGAACCTAGGATCCCGATCAGAAATAATACTAACTGGAACCCCGTGGTATTTAACAATCCCTGATATAAATAAATCAGCTAATCAGCTTAAAGAATAGTTATTTTGAACTGGTATAAAGTGTGCTGATTTAGTAAGCCGATTCACTATAACCCAGATGTCTTCGTAACCATTTCGAGTATGAGGAAGCTTGTACACGAAATCCATAGTAATATTTTCCCATTTCCACTAGGGAACGAGAAGTGGCTGCATCAATCCAAAAGGCTTTTTTTTCTTAGCTTCGACTTGCTGGCAAATTGCACATCGACTCACATATTCAGCAATCTCTCTTTTCATGCCAGGCCAATAGTAGAAAGGTCGAATAGTGTGATACATCTTAGTACCTTCAGGATGCATCGCATAGGCTGATATATGCGCTTCATCAAGAATATCTTTCTTTAACTCTTCAATATTCAGCACATACATCTAATTTCCCTGCATAAGCATGCCATTAGATTCTCGAATTCAAAGATCTTTCTTCTTCCCTCGTGCAACTGCCTTGGCTAATTCCTGGGATTTCTCATCCTTCGCTTAAGCTTCTAGAACACGATCAATTAAAATCGGTCTAACCTAGAAACTAGCAAGTAAAGCTTCTTCTTAATCTATCACTCCCAAATCAACTCCAGTAGATGTCAATTCTGTGAAAAAAGGGATATGGCAAGCATATAAAGCATTAATAAGGCCTCGAGATTTCCTACTAAGTGCATCTGCCACCACATTTGCACGACCAGGATGATACTTAATCGTGCAATCATAATCACCGAGTAATTTTATCCATCTTCGTTGTCGAAGGTTAAGATCTTTCTGGGTGAATAGGTACTGGAGGCTTTTATGATTTGTGAAAATCTTGCACTTTTCTATAAGTAATGTCTCCAAATCTTCAGGGCGAAAATGATGGCTGTTAGCTCAAGATCATGGGTAGGGTAGTTCATCTCATGTCGCTTCAACTGTTGCGAGGCATATGCAATGACCCTACCATGCTACATTAATACGCAGCCTAAGCCATTTAAGGAAGCATCATTGTAAATCTCAAAATTACCACCGTCGTCTCGAAGCGCTAAAACAGGTGCGTGAGTGAGACAATACTTTAGCTGCTAGAAACTCTGCTCATAATCATCGTCCCACTCTAATCTAACATCTTTTCTAGTCAACCTCGTCAGTGGTAAAACACTAGTTGAAAAATCTTTAACAAACCGTCGATAATAACCTGCTAAGCCCAGAAAACTTCGTACCTTATTGACGGTTCGTGGCTGCTCCCAATTTTCAACTGCAGCTATTTTCTGTGGGTCCACTTGAATATCCTGGGCTAATATTACATAACCCAAAAATGCCACTTGATCTAACCAAAATTGGCATTTGCTAAACTTAGCATATAATTGATGTTCCTTCAATTTCTTCAAAACCAAAGTGAGATGTCAACTATGCTTTGCTTTAGACTTAGAATACACCAAAATATCATCAATGAAGACGATGACAAACCTGTCAAGGTATGGCTTAAATACTTGATTCATTAAATCCATAAAAGTTGTGGGTGCATTCGTTAACCTGAATGGCATCACGAGGAATTTGTAATGACCATATCCAGTCCTGAAAGCCGTCTTAGGAACATCTTCACTTCTGATTTTAATTGATAGTATCCTAACCTCAAATCAATCTTAGAGAACATTCAGGCACCTCGAAGCTGGTCAAATAGATCATCTATACGTGGCAACGGATAATGATTTTTAATCATTACTCGATTCAGCTATCGATAATTGATACATAGCCTCAAGGTTCCGTCCTTCTTCCGTACAAATAATACTGGAGCTCCCCAAGGTGAAGTACTAGGCTGAATGAAACCCTTATCAACTAATTCCGGCAACTGAGTTTTCAATTCCCTCAACTCCGTGGGAGCCATTCGATAGGGAGTTAAGGAAATAAGATATGTACCTGGGACTAAATCAATAGTGAATTCAACTTCTTTATCTAGTGGTAATCCAGGTAAATCATCAGAGAAAACATCAGGGAAATTCCTAACTACTTGTGCATCCTTCACACAGATAGGCGCATCCTCATTCAATACCACGTGAGCCAAATAACCCTGACAACCTTTCCTCAATAACCTTTTAGCCTCATGACAGAGATAATGCCGTGCCTTAGTCCATTACGTACACCCACAAATGTAACCACAAGTAAGCCCGACTGATGAAAAGTAACTGTCTTTTCATAACAATCCATCTTGGCACAATTGTAATGTAACCAATCCATGCCCAGAATAACATCAAAATCAACGATATCTAATGGAATAAGATTAGCTGGCATGATGACGTCCTCCACTGGAACAGGACATCCTTGATATACCCAGCTAACATAACATGTCTTGCCTCTAGGCATCAAAAACTCTAACTCATAACTAAGAGGTGTGGGGTAGGGTTGCGTCGTCTGAGCAAACGTATGGGAAATAACAGAGTGTGTGGCACCAAAATTAATTAATATTTTAGCAAAATGGCCAAGAATATTCAACGTACCCATGATAAGATCAGGATTGTTCTGAGCATCTTGCAAGGTGATATGGTGAACACGGCCTTGAGGTTGTTGTTGTCCTCTATGGCCCCTGTTATCTTAGTTTCCACGTCCCTGTGTACCTCGTCCCTGACCAGGCTGGCTAGGATGCCTCGATGACCTTGCATTGCTAGAAGCAACCTTCATATTTTGGGATTGCCCTCCGAGATACCACTATTATCCACCACCTGAATATGGTGAATATGGCGTGTAACCTCCTAGATACTAAGGATAACCCCCCTAATGATACGGGTCATGTGGATACTGATACTGTCATCTAGAATATGGAGTTATATCACTCGATAATGATATGCTCCATAATAACCCGTCTTGGTATAACCATTAGGCCTGGGAATCTGCTGAATAGGTAATGGTGGTGGCAAGGCAGATGGTTGGGGCTTCTGCTAATTCTGAGGGCACTGAATAGCCCGATGTCCCATCTAGCCACACGTGAAACATCCACTGCTACCTCACCTACATTCCCCAAAATGCCGATTATTGCACCTACAACATAGCGGGGCACTTAAACTGCTAAAATCTCTCTATCTCTGAAACCGGGAACCTCTTGAAAACCGGTTGCCTCTCTGCTGCGCAGTGGAACTCAAACCCCTACTAGAAGAACTATAACTAGTACCACTTCTCTTAAAACTCTGCATCTTGCGAGGTCCCTGAGATGATTGGCCTTTATCTTTATTATTATTGTTCTTTTAGCTATTATCTTTTTCTTCCTCTTCCTCACTGTCACTGGGCATGTTTTCAGAATCCTCAAACCGCAGTAAAATCTCATAAAACTCCTGATATGTAGAGCAGGGAGTAGTGGTCGCCATAGAACGCCACTTCTTTCGAGTACCCCACTTGAATCATCGAAGCATCTCAGCAGGATTCTCAACAATCTCCAGACAATACAGAGATAAATCAGTCAACTTTCTATAGTACACATTAGCTGACATTTTCCCTTGCTTTAAATGCTTGAATTCTTTCTTCTTACGATCTATATATTTTGGAGGTACAAATCTCTTCTGGAATAGGTGTTTAAAAATCTCCCAATTGGCGGCTTCTTCTGGTGACAACTGAAAAGATTCCTGCCTCCACCAGGTTACAGCCTTCTCACCTAAAAACCAAGTAGTCGTTTAAACCAATCTATCCTCAGGGAAATTCCCCTGCCTCAGCATCTCTCGATAAGTTTTCTCGACATGATTGAGACAACGATCAGCTCCCTCGGGCCCCTCATTACCAACGAAATTATTCAACTTTAAGTTTTACACAGTCTCCAAGGGAGTTCTCTAGGGAGGACTGGATGAGGACTGAATGGCATTAGCAATAGCCTTTCCAAGTTGGGCAATATCAGGAAAATCAAACTCAGATGAAGTACGTGGCTCTCTTCGAGGAGCGTGGTTCTGACATAAGACATCAAAATGATTAGAATACTCCCAAAATATACAGGACTGCCAAACCTAGGCTCTAATACCAAATTGTCACATCTCGGCCCAGGCCCCCACCACATCCCGGGCTCGACTCTACTGTAGCATGATATTGTCTACTTTGGGCCCCGACCACACCCTCACGGTTTTGTTTTTGGGAACTCACGAGCAACTTCCCAGTGGGTCACCCATCTTGGGAGTACTCTCGCACGAACTTGCTTAACTTCGGAGTTCCTACGGAACCCGAAGCCAGTGAGCTCCTAAAAGGCCTCGTGCTAGGTAGAGATGGGAATATACATATAAGGCTTACAAGATCCACTCCCCTGGGCGATGTGGGATGTAACATAACAGGTCGGATCATATTACATGATAATATTAACGGGTTAATTTCGGGTCGGGTCATATTACCCATTTACTTTAACGGGTATTACATGACACAACCCGTTAAGTTATTGGGTATGACACAAAAACGACACAAACACGAGAAACACGACATGAATGTCAAGTCAATTGGTGACACACCATTTGATTTGCAAATTTGTTTAAAAATTCGGTTTACAAAATTTGGTTTAAAATTGGATTTCCTAGCATTATTAAAAAAAAAGGTGTTTTAGCCAAAATAGTGCTCAGATTAAGATAACTCTTCATGTTGATCACTGAAATTTGAAATTGATCTATGAGTTTGTCCACCGTCAATCATTTTGGTTATTTTAGGAAAAATCTCTATTAAATAAAGACCAAAATGACATATATACTCTTAATTTAATAAACAATGGGCTAAAATAATTTGACAAAAATTAAAGTTATTTAGTCATTTTCTCCTTATTTAACGTTGGTTTTTTCACAAAATGTCCAAAGTGATTATTGGTAGACAACCTTTGAGATCATTTGGCTAAAAAGTTAAAAAAAAAAATATACAGAGAAACGAGAGAGAGGAGAGAGCAATTATAAATATAAAAAAATAAAATATTAGAGTGCTGATAAGCTCATCCGAACCTTCACTCATCGCCAAGGCCTCGCTTCCCCTTTTTATTCCAGTTAGAATTCCAAAATCCAATCACTTTCCAACTCTCCAACTGATTGCAACTTTCCTTCCATCTCTCCAAATCCTCAACTCAAGCCCCTCACCTCCTCTTTCCAAATTCTAGGACCAAATCTCATGCCGCATTTTCAAAATTTATCCTCACCATTCTCAAATCTGCCACAACCCATTCTCCCCCCCCCCCTTTTCAAATTTTTAAATAATTATTTCTTTAGTAAAATGTTTTGAACAACTACTGTCACTTTTTGCTTTTGGTCTCCCATTTTTTTTTTAAATTTTTAATAATTATTTCATTAGTAAAATGTTTTGAACAACTATTATATATGATTAAACTAGAGGAACAAAAAATGAAGAAAACTGAGATTCCACCATAAAACTAATTGGCAACTTGGGAAAAATCTCAACTTCTTATAAGCTCTTGC